CGTCAGTCTGGCACCAGCAATTTTCTGAGTTCCACATTAGCTTCTATAACCTGAATTATTCGGTGTCCACTACGAACACAGCGTTTCATTTCTTTTTATCGTTGGCGCCAGTTCGGCGACACAATGTTTTCTAGCTTATCTCGAGCGACGAGTGAAACTGTATACTGCCAAAGTGAGGCATTTTTACAAAAAAAAACTGCGCTCAGCGAGAAGGAGCCTTTCATAGTGGTCGGGTTACTTGATACAGCTTAGGAGAGCGAATAAATGACAAAAAAGCAAAACTTTGCGAGAGAAAATCGCGAAAATCTCTCCGAATGGGCGTGGCAAAATGGGCGGAGCTTCCGAGTATCAGTGCTCAAGTGCTTATCGTTGAGAACATCTAATGCGCGAATAGCGGGTGAGAAAAAGGCTTATGTTGGAAAAATCTTAAAAGCCGGAACTTTTCAATGATTTCGCTAAAAATGGGCCCTTTGTTTTATTTATTTTACATGAATAAAGGAAAAGTGCAAATAAAAAGCCACAGAAATAGAAGTCGTAAAATAAAGTTCGTACAAAAAACGCTCAAAAGTGGGCGTGGTTGTGAAGAGGGGGCGGGGCTCGCGATGGAGTCCAGTGCGATGAAGGAATGGTAGAAACAGTACTCCGCGGTAGATCTCTCAACCATTTTCCGGAACCTAACAGAGCGAAAGAAGTGGCCCTCGAGAGTAACTATGCGTCATTGGCTCATGGTGACCCACGAGAAATATTTTTTCCCGCTCTGTTAATTTTTGCAAAGTGATTGTGCCATCTTACACTGCAAAACAACTGTCAAGTGTCGACAACGTGCTAGAATGCTCATGGTCAGTTCACCCAAACAGAATTCGATGCCGAATTTGATCCTGAAATTTAATGGGCGGGTGAGCAGCATCATCTCCACCCAAAACCTTCACCACGGGTTTTCGCGAAGTCCTAGCTGTTAACTCAAAAAACCATCGTAGGCGATATACCGTTTTTCATGGTATTGCACATGTAGTTCCCGTGCCAAATATCACCGACAGATCCGCTTTATCGAAGAGGGAAGTTGTCTTAGCTCTCTTTACGCCGGTTAGGGAGTACCACGCACTCCATTCAGAAGGATGGGGCTTTTCGAAAGCTTATCGTAAACAACGACTTGCAATGAGCAATTGATGTAGAAGTTTTTTTTGAGATAATTAATTGAATGTAAGAGCCATCGATCGTTACGGTAAGCTCAACGCCTGACCGAGATTTCATGAAGGAGTGGCGAAAGAGTTGAATAGCGGTCCCATATCACTTCCGTGCTTCTGCCCATAGGGAGCCGCGTAAAAACGAAAACCAAAAAGTTACGCTTTTCAAGCCATTTTTGTGCTGCTTTTGTCGTCAAAGGAAAAAAAAAGCTCCAGAGACGAAACTTTGGACACTCCCCACCACGACTTCCTCTATTGCAAGCTTAACTTTTCTGCAGTCAACGTAACCTAGCACTTAACTTCTCAATCGAGTTTGTTCCGCAATGAACCAAGAAATCCATAGGAGTGTGAATGAGAGCATACGTAAGAGATCACCTGTTCTCTGCGACTGGTCTTCGTTCCTCTTCACAAGGAAGTGACCGCACTCAACTCCAGTATCACACGGCCTGATCTTTGTCGGCAGGAGTAGCGGTTGTCTGGAAGACGGTATCAAAGCTTTTCTCAGTGAATGGAGGAGTACGAAACGGCGGCGGAGTCGTCGCTGGTAGTTCCTGAGTGGAAGAAGAAGGTTGGCCATATTTCAACTTTTCACTTTTTCACTTTCTTCCGGTAACTGATTGTGGTTCTCATACTGTTCCACACTGGCAGGCTTCTCTGGTTGTTCTATCTGCTGTGGCTTTTCGTCTTGAGCATAGTCCTGATTCTCTACCGGAGAGGATTCCCTGGCGAGACGATTAATGAACGAGTTTCGTTTCGAGTACTTCGATGCTGCTTTCGGCATAGGAGACGGTGGTTTGGTATCCGGCGTTGGATGATGAGGGACCGGTGACTGACACTGCATGAGACTCGTTGGCATAACCTAAACAAAAAATCCACGCACTTCTTCGATGTCAGAGTGAGTTTCTCACAAGGTAACTTACTCCTTGGTAGAATTTATCCGGAGAGAGAACCACTGGACCGTCCAAAACGCGTCCCAGCCAAGGTTTCTTGTTCTCTGGTTCAGCACCTTCATGAACTTTGACGAAGTTGTGAGGGAATTGACGTGAAGGTACTGGAGAGCCGGCAGCTGAAATAATATACTACTTACCAAAGCATGCCACAACTGCACGGGTACTGGAAGGGGAGTAACCACACCAAATTTGCACCGAGCTAGCTTCACTGGTGGGAGAATCGGGTTCGTGAACATTTTGAACCCGATGGCTGGACAAAATGCGTCCCCTCCCCCCTCGTTTGCCGCTCC